GTCTTAATAAAATAACTTCCTCTTACAATAACTACTATTCTTTTCTAATTGCTCACTGCACGTTTATCTAGTCCCGTCGAAGTTTTTACTGTACTTTGGTTCTGCTCAAATTTTGGTCACAGTGATCATCAGGAAGAGTTGTTGAAATGTATTTTTTGAATCTGTAAAATCAATATTTAAATTTTATTAAAAAAATTAAAATTTTAAAAAAGTTTGCAGGCAAATTTGCCTGCAATACAAATTAAGGGATAATATCAAAATTTTTAATTAAAATTTTAATAAATCAATAAATCCTAGAATAAAAATTCAAAATCATTTTCACATCATGTTTTACAGACATGCTTGCTCTCTACAAGTTCTTTTCTGCATATGGCTTATCAGCAGGCTTACCAATATTGCCTTTTTGCATGATGTCTTATAGACAATGCCATCTTTATATTAATACCTTTTGGCACATGTCTTACTGGCAAGTTTACTAACTATTAGAATACCAAAGTGATTTCCGAGTATCTCTTAATACTTAAAAACAATTCGAAAATGAAAGACTCTTATAATCAATTTCATAGTAATTCTTCAATTTCTAAATAAATACTTATATATTTTTGTTTAAATTATAAATTATTTTAAATACAACTACTATTAATTCTATCTAACCAATTTACTAAATATACAATTTGAATCCTTCTTTTTCTTATTTTGCTTGACTTTAAATTTATTATAATCAATTCAAAATAATTTAAATATCTTATTGCCTAGTATTCTTTTAAGTTTAAAATTGATATGATCTGGTGATTTATTATTTTTCAAATGACTTTTATATTTTCTAAGCTTATAATTTGCTTTTTGGATTTTCTCTTTATACCAATACTATTATAATAGTATTGATCAATATTATTTACTATTTAATTATTTATAAACTTTATTTTTGAACTGAGTGAGTAATACTCTATTTTACTCTGAAGTTTAAATTAATTGCTAAAAAATTTAAATTAATAAAATTACAGTACAAGAATCCTTAAACCAACAACTTTTTTTAAAAATAACTAAATTTGAGATGAAATACTAAATTTTAATTGGCTAATATCTTGAAATTTTATTATAGTTTTAAAATTTTATTATATTTTTTTTTTTATATATATGTAGCCAAATTTTTATTTTATTAGTAACTTTAAAAGAAAATAATATTATAAAATTTTGCTATATTAAAAAATAAACTCTATAGTTTTGTTCTACTTGTTTGTTTGTATATTTTTTATAAAAAAAATTTTTTTAATTATATTTTTTATTTTTTATAAAATTTTTTAAAAAATTACTAGTTATTAGTTGCTGATTTAAGAGTTCATACACTGTAGTTTACAAATTAATATAACAATTAATATTAATATATAAATAAATAAATACAATACAATCTCTATAAATATTTACTATTAGGATTAAGCTTCTAACAATGTGTATTTAAAAAACAAATAATAAGAATAGTAAATAATACTTAAGTCTTAATTATAAAGAATATTATTTTGAAGAGATACTGTATACAGTAGTTAATAGTATATAATGAATCTATTGTAAATTTCTAAAAATAAGCTACATTTTTTGGGCAAAAAAGTGATACAAAAATTATAAGATAGCTTATTTTTGGGTAAAGTTTTAAAAAAGTTAATTTTTATTATTTTTAAAATCTAGAAGTAGTTTCTATATATAAAAGTTAAAATTCTACTAAGTAAATTAATAAAACTCACTTAATAAAAGTTGTTCAAAAAGTAAAAATACACATATCTTAAAAGTTTCAAGCAAATCAGAGAATATTTTACTAAGATATTTTTGTATTTTAAATTTGAATGTAAAATGCAAAAACATCTTAGCAAAAAGTTCTTCGATTTGCTTGAAACTTTTAAAATATATGTATTTTTATATTCTAAACAACTTTTATTAAGTGACTTTTATTGATTTACTTAGTAAATTTTGACTTTTGTATATAGAAACTACTTCCAGATTTTAAAAAATTATTAGGATAGCTTATTTTCAGAATAAAGAATTTTCTTATATTTTTTTTCCAAGAAAAGAAGAGGTAGCTTATTTTTGAAAGTGGTTTATTTTTAGCAATATACAATATTGCTTTTAATATTATATAAACTCTACTTTTTTTCTCAAGGCAGATCAGGTTTTATCTTAGATTTTTAGCTATCTCCAAGTTCTGTTTTTTGTTTTTTTATTTTTTATTTAATAAACTAATACCTACTTTTAGCTATATATCCACTATATTGTGTATATCTTTAACTCTTTATCTATTATGTTATGAAAATTTTCTTTATTGTATTTTATTGTTTTTATTTTATTTTATTTTATTTTTTTTAACAATTTGGCAGTCATGCCTTTACTTTATTAGGCTTTGTAATAATTATCTAGACTATTAAAATTTTAGAGAAACTTATCAGTGAGTAATAAACTCTGAACATGTCAGCAGATAGTATATGAGAACTATCTCTAAACAACATGTGCCGCACCCGAGGGCCACACAACTATATCTAAATTACAAGTAAAGACTAACCTGGTTGCTTAATAAGTACCTATATTCGACTTGCTATAGTAGGATTCTCCTCCTTCTGAATCTCTCTTGCAATTGGATATAACCTGAATAGTATCTACTGCTTATCATAACCACCTCTCCCTTCTTTCAGACTTCTTCTACCTAAGCCCAATAACAAAATTAAAACTCTTATTCATATATAAAAGTAAAAAAAATAATACTATGTTTATAAGAGACAAATATTTTAGAAAAAAAAACACTTTACGGTGAGAAAAAAAAAAACTTTTCAACAAATTCTAAAATAGTCTAACATAAATGAACCAAGATGAAAAAAGCGAAAAAAAAAAGATAGTCATGATACACTATTATAGCCTGTGCTAGGCATAAGAATAAAAATTATATAATAATTGCAACTAATTAATATATCTCAATTGTAAAACATTGCCTTATTATAGAGGACTCGTTTTAAGCACCAATGAAACTCAGATATCTCCTAAATGGGAATACCAATCTCTTCCCTATACTATAACACCGTATTGATAAACAAAACAAACACATGGTTGCATTCTACTAAGTATATCCGAATTAGAAAGGTGTAAACATTGCCGATCTTTTGGAGGGAATGAGCCCAAATACTCACTTTTTTTTGAAAATTTTGGAAAAAATGGCAAAAGCGGGAGGGAGGTAAAAAAAACCAAGAGGAAACACCAAAGAAATGTCTACCCAAGCCTGCACAGTACTAAGTTTTTTTAGTGAGTGATAAACTCTGAGCTTGTCGACAGGTAGCATATGAGAACTATCTCTAAACAACAAGTGCCATGCCTATAAGGTCCCTTTTCCTATGTCTTACGTTAAGGCTCCTTTCGAACCAAGCCATGATATATGTTATTCAAAGAAAAGTCTCAAAATTTTCAGAAAGCATCGTTAGAAAAACCTATTTGTTGTTCTTCTTCTATTCTATTCTTTTGCATTATGAGTTACTTCATCAACAAAAAGGCCCCAACTTCTTATAAGCATCTTCTTTCCAGAATTTTGAAAGCAAGAGCACCAACTTTTGCCAGTTATCTTGTTTTCTAATGCTTCTGGTTTGCATGCTGAATATGTGCATGCCGAATATGTAAAGAAGTTTCTGGAATCAAAAGGTTGACCTTTACAAAAACCGCCCCATAGCACTGTCTTCTCCTTTTCAACAAATTTTTGTTTTTTGTTTGGTGAGAAATTTTGGTCCAGATGATTGTCAGAAAGAGTTGTTTTAATGTTATTTTATTATTTTTATTTGATTTTAACTCTTCATTTATTATATTGTAAAGGCTCTCTTTATTGTATTATATTGGTTTTATCTGTTTTTTATTCTTTACCTATTATGTTGTAAAGGCTTTCTTTATTGTGTTTTATTATGTTGTAAAGGCTTTTTTTATTGTGTTTTATTGTGTTGTTTTTATTTTGTTTTTATTATTTGTCTTGGGTATTCTCACTTATTTCTTTTATCTTATATCATATATTTTTGTTTTAGTTTTTGTCTTAGTTTTTGTTTTGTTGTATACATATTTCTTACTCTCTGCATGTTAAGTCAAGTAGTATAGTTAACCTATCAAGGTTCCTAATATTACAATATTATTAAAATTATTTTAAAAAAACTTTTATTTTTATTATTACTGTTTTTAAAATGGTTGAAAATAATAATCACAAAAAAAATTTTTTTTTTGCAAATACCTAATTAATTTAGAACTTGTGGCAGATCATAATAAAATTTAACTTATTTTATGTACGATTTTAAAATTTTTTGGGCCTTTTTTGTTAGGTTTTTTTTATAGTTAAGTTAGGGTTTAGGGTTTGAATTATTAGAAAAAGAGTATAAGTAGATTTCGGTAAAGCTTATATTTAAATTGAGACCTCTAAATTTCACAATGATCTGATTTCGAAAACAGCGATAAAACAAATTAAATTTTTTTAAATAAATAAACAAGCAAAAAAATATCTTTTATTTTAATTTGCATTACAATTTTTATTAATTTTTATAGTATTATTCAGTTTACTATTATAAACGATATTAATGAAGTATAGTGAAATATTATGCAATAATTAAAGCTAATAGCAATGAATTTTATGTGACATTATGTTTTATTAGTTATCGTTTGTTAATGAGGTTTACATAAAATTATCGTCCCTAATCCGGAGCACAAAGTATGCTATTTGGTCTTTGGCCGATTAATAAAGTGGATGGACGAACTGACAAACATCTTGCATATCAAAAGTTTAGAGAGATAGAGTGTTTTCGACTTCGCTTCGGACTAATTATCTGTAATATCCAAAGAATTAAGTGCGCCCCAGCGACGTGTTCCTAATGCTCTTTTCCCTTCTACTCCAAGTTTATTATTTCGGAGATTCAGATTTTTCAGGTAAATGTTCACGCGAAGTAAATTTGCGAATATTTTTCCACCTCCCGGACCAAAATTATTATTTCGAAGATTTAAATCTTTCAAGGTTTTGTTATTGAAAAGTGCACCAGCTAATGCATTTGCGCCGTCTAATCCAAGTTGATTATTCCAGAGGTTCAAAGAGGTTAGTGTAGTATTATTGTAAAGCACATTTGCTAATGCACTTCCACCTTCTGGTCCTAGTTTATTCGTATTAAGGTCTAAAGTAGTCAGCGTTTTATTCTCGTAAAGTGCATCCGCAAATGCATTTCCACCTTTTGCTTCAATATTATTATCGCCAAGATACAAAGTTGTCAGCTTGGCGTTCTTGTAAAGTGCACCAGCTAATGCACTTCCTCCTCTTGATCCTAGTTTATTCGAACTAAGATTCAAATCAGTTAGCGTGGTATTCATACAAAGGGCATTCGCTAATGCTATTCCACCTTCTGGACCTAGTATATTCGCACTAAGATCCAATGAAGTCAACACGGTATTCTTGCGAAGAGCATCAGCTAATGCTCTTCCTTCTTCTGATCCTAGTCTATTCGAACTAAGATCTAAAAAAGTCAACGTTGTATTATTGCAAAGAGCATTTGCTAGTTCTTTTCCACCCGATCCAAGATTATTAATACTAAGATTCAAAGAAATCAGCATTGTATTCTTGTAAAGTACACATGTTAACTCAACCAAATTTTTTAATCCACATTTATACCCAGAAAGATCCCAGCCTATAACATTTGTTTGATCTTCAGCACTATGACGACTGTATTCGTGAATTTCCTCATGAATTTCTAATGCATCGATAAATTTGCCTTGCTTAAGATATTCTTGTGCCTTACTTCTCATAAATTTTAATGCACTTCTATATAATCTGGGGAAAGTATCATTATATTTACATATTGTAATAAAGTCTTTTGGAAATCTCCAAGCTGTTTTAAATCCTAGTAAGCAATTTTCAACTTGTTGTTTAATTTCCAATAATTCCATTTCATCAGCAGCAATAAAAATGTCGAGAAGGCCAACTTCGTTCTTATCGGAAAATGTTCCGGTATTAATATAACTATTCATTTTTGAGTGGAAAATAAATCAACATATTTATATATATGGAAGGAAGTCCTTAGTTTACAAACAATTAGTAACCTAAAATATAAGCTTACTTCATGAGAGCTTCAAATACAGGTGGAGAAATATTAGGCTTATTGAAAATGATGTTTCCATTTTCTCTCCTCGCCCACCGTGGTGACAAAGCAACTTCAAAGTAAGGTGATCTTGTCGATAAGACGTTAGAAGGAATTTTAAATTCTTTAATATTTGGTTCTTCACCAACTTTAATAATTACTATATCAGAATCTAGATTTTTAGAGTTTTCAAGCGAATTTTGAATAGGTTCGTTACTCATTTTTGCGCGTAAAAATAGAAGATGAATGAGAAAATTTCTCTTTAAATATACTAGTAGTCCGAACGCGTTTTGCTACGTGAACTGATCTGCATAGCGAGGTCGCGTTAATTTTTTGGAAAAGTTCCAGAAAATTCCATAAAATGAGAACGTTTTAGTCGGCTGGCTTAGCCAACCGTGTGACTTAAAACAGGTCGATGTTTTGTGTGATCACGGAAACAGCAGAAATTTTCTTGAAAAAAAAACCAAAAAAACCTTAATTACCAAAAATATCGCAGAATACACAAATCTAAAGAATCACACTTAGTTACCATAAAATAACAGAATTTGCGCAAGATTAGGTTTGGATCTGATTTATGTCCGTAGCGTAGAATGCAGCTTTTCTATAGCGTCAAAAATTTCTCACACAAATTACACAAAAACTAACAGAGTTCAAAAAGGAACAGCCAATTAGAGAAACGAAATTTTACATACCAGATACATACGTACGTACGTAAAAGGCTATTATGACGAAATGAATACATCGATTGTGTCACGTGATGAGTCGAATGATACCAATAGAGGTTTTCAAAATTAACTTATTTCGAAAATAACAAGATAATGAGAGTTCATTTATGTTTAAAATTCTAAAATAAAAACCGATTATGAAATTCATAAAATTATTAAAAAGGTAGGATCGCTGAAATCAGATGCTGAATCATTCAATTCATTTGATCTGATCACTGGATCCCAAAATATCTTATCATTAGAAAAATATAAATTTTTTGCATAATGGGTATTTTTACGAATCATAAAAGAAAGTTTATTGCTAAAGTTCGGTCCTTCTTCCCGATAACTTGAATCCCGTGATTAGAATCAAATAAACCTTATACCATTTGAGAAGAATCGTCAAATTCTACGGAGTCACGAGATACCACTATTCGTCTAAATACTCTCTTTTGTTACAATTTTCTACATTCTGTGATCAGAACTTTACTCTTCTCAATAAGTGGAATCGATTGGTACAAAAATTGGTTTGTGTAATATTACCATTATTAGAATCGATCTGCAATAAGCTATAAAGTTTAGATTTTTATATTTTGAGCTCATTAAATATTCGATAATGCGAAACAGATCATATGACCTGCACTTTGGGGCCGACTCTCATTATCAAAATCACACCTTTTTTTTGCAAACCGTTATAACTTTAATCACGATCCAGAAATCAAAATCGAATGAAACTTATACCATTTGATTCCACTTCGAGAGAAATTGAATGGTGTAGGTTTCACTCGATTCTGATCACATGATCACGAGATATTGCGATTCGATACAATCCCTCTTTTATCTTACGTGTGTAATACTGTATAAAGTATACTCTATCATTATATTTTTAGGTTTATTTAAAATGTAGACTAATATTTTAAATAATTAAATAGCGTTCTCATGACACTAATTTCGAACACTGGTCTAGACCTACTAAAAAGAGTATTAGTCATACGAGTTGATCGTATAACAAGATCATTGATTCGGGTCAGGAACATAATAAATAAGTATCTCCACATATCTAAATATAGAATCTTTGACAGAATAATCAATTGAAACATTCTGACGAGAACCCGCTTAATATATTATATACATTATTTGCATGTGTAGCCAATCATTGGTCAAATTACCGTATTCGACAATTTGCTCAATAATGGTGTTATCCGGCAATTTATGATCATGATTGGTAAGGAGTCGCTCGCTGAGTTTTAATTTTAATAACAAAAAGAAATTTTTTCATGATCATGAGTTTTCCGGATAAGTGATGATCACCGGTTCCTTGTTCTTCAAGTCTCCCATCTAATTTTATCCCCGTGACGACATTGGTCAGCTAGATGGGTACAACGTAAATAAATGCCAAAAACGCGGTTTGCACTTGAATAATACACAAAAGGGATACTTTTTTCAAGTAGCATTAGCCGATTAAGTCAGTCAATTTGACTTAAAAGTGGGTTGACGGGAAAATTCAGGTACATATTATTTACATGCTAAAGGCAATCCATAGTCTATCCGAAAATTCTAAATTCGTAATTTTCCGAAATTACCGTTACGTATACATAAAGTTTACGCCTCGTGGATTACCCATCTAAGTAACTTAAAAAAGATTCAATATCAATGATAGACAAATACAGAATTGTGATACACGTACCACATATTTATTAAGAAATAAAATTTCGCGTACGTATCATTGGGAGTTTGCAGACACTTCGCATTCCTGGAATCATGATATTTACATTTTACTCCTCTAATAGAGCTAATGTAGGCGTAATTGCATTGCTGCAATATATTCTTTTTGGTTATTATCAAACTTAATCTATATTTAATATTGGAAAATGTCGCGGCTGAAGCTGGAAATTAGGAATCCAAATTTAAAATATAAACCCTACCAAATCCACTTATACTCTTTTATTATCAAAACTAACCTTAAACCCTAACCTATCTATTTAAAAAAAACTAATCACCGGCAAACAGTTCGATTTTTTGAAAAACTCGAAAAAAAATGAGTTCACCGTCAGCAGAAATAAACGAGCCACCACAAGAAGGATTACCGTCAGCAGAAATAAACGAGTCACCACAAGAAGGATCAAGCAATTCACCACAAGTAGGATTAAACAATTCACCACAAGAAGGATCAAGTAATTCACCACAAGTAGGATTAACCAATTCACCACAAGGAGATGAAACTAAAGTTTTGTCGGAAGATATATATTACAATAGTCAGCTAAAAAAAGTATATAACAATTGGAATGATCTTCAGTCTCTACTTAATAAATATTTGATTGTTTTTGTTACAGCTTGTATTACCTCAGTTACGATTGGAATTGTGTTTTCGATTTCAGATGAAAATACTATGGGATCTTTAAGTAAAAAAATTATTTCAGTTGTTATTTCTGGATTGGGGAGCACAGTAACTCTTTTGGGGCTTATTGTCGCTTAAGAATCTTATTGTTAAGAATCAGCCAGATACTGTTGATGATTTGAACAAAGAAGAACAAGGTATTCCTTGGTCACATAAAGATAGCAATTTTAACGAAGATGGTCTAGATAAAATTGCTAACCATGAAAAAAATTTTAGAGAGCCATTATGTTTCATGAAAAAGTTGGCTAAAAATACAAAAACTACATTGATTTTTGTGGCTATATGGAGTATTATATTTTCATGCCTTATAATTTATGTGACTGTATATTCTATTATTATTGCCGCATCTACCGCATCTACCGCATCAGATGATGATGATTATAGAATTTTAATAAAATGGCTCTTTATATGTCCTGCAATTAGTATAGTCATTGCTCTTGTATACACATATCAAATTAATATAGTTCCTAATATAGTAGAAAAGAAAAATTTACATTTTAAAGATAAAGTTCCTTTAAGTAATTTAGTTGTAAAAAAAAACAAAAAAAACATATGTATCTCTATTTTGACGCAAATTTTGAAGATATTTTTGGGGATAATTTTGGTAATAATTTTGGGGCTAATTTTTGGACTGGTTCGGTTTACATGCGAGGAAGATGAGAATAAGAAAGTTTGTTGTAGAGTAACGGTAAAAAGAATTGAATTAAACCAAAAAGAGATGACGGCAATTGAACTTACTCTTAAAGGCTTGACGACGACAACTCTAACAGTTCAAAATTGATCTGATAAAGATCTTTTACATTTTTATTAAACTGCCGTGTTACATAAAATTAAAGGTAGAATTTGATATTTTCAAATTATATATAAAATTAATTTTATAGTCATTATATCAAGCAAGTTTTCTAAAGAAATAAAGTAATTGTGCGATATTAGGATGATTAGGGTCGTGGTTCTGCCACGGGAATTTTGTAGAAGTTAAATCTTTACTGAAATTTGTAAATTTACATATATATTTATAACATTTTATAACATTTTATAATATTTTATATATGTGAATAAAATAGAATTTTTATTTATTTTTGGCACGTACGTATTTATAGTATCAATATATAGTAATAATGAGTGATATTTAATTCTCAAAACTTTTCGTGAAATTGAATAAGAAGTTAATAAGATAAATGATCGACATAACTTATATACTTATCAACACAAAAAAGGTAAAAAATTTTTTGTGCAATGAAATAACAGGGGGAAACGTTGAAACGTCACAAAATTGTTACACAATTGATAAAAAATTTTTTTATATTATTTTACAATACT